ATATCTAGAAGAGTGCGATTCCTCCTTTCTGCAACACCATTTCTCTGAGGAGTACCGGGCATAGTATGCTGAGCTTCAATACCACATTCATTAAGAAATCTAGCGAAAGGTCCTGGATTTCTTCCGAGTCTCATCATATCTGCCATAATACTCTCCACCTCTGTCGGACCTTACACATTTTATCTTCTTTCCTGTTTTCAACTCAATAGCGGCTTTGAAGGACTTAAAAGCATCCAAGGAACTTGACTTTTCTTGTAGGAGATCTATCCATCCAAATGCGGAATAATCGTCTATAAACGTGATAAAATACCTGTATCCACCCATGGAAATGGGTGTCATAGGTCCACACATATCGAGTATGAATAAGTTGCAACACATCATCACACCTGTTTGCACCTGCATTTCTTACTTTTGCGAGTAAGCTTGCCCTTAATGCAATCAACACAAGTATCAAAATCAGAAAAATTCAGATCATGCAAAATACCCTCTTTAATCAACCTCTCAATCAGAGGTCTAGAAATATGCCCCAGGACGTCTATGCCACAACATAGAGGAATTTTCATCAACTCTACTACGCTTATGTCCAACAATAGAATTAATAGACATGTCATTCAGATTTAACATGTAAAGCCCATCACATAAAACTCCTAAGCCAACAATAATTGAATTGAAATAAATAGCAAGTTTTCCATTGCCAAATTCAAAAGTGTAGCCACATTTATCCAAAGCTGAAACTGAAATTAAATTCCTTCGCATAGAAGGTACATAAACAACATCTTTCAATAACAAAACATGTCCAGAAGGTAAATTTAAAGACACTACTCCTATGTCTTCAACTTGTGCTCTAGCTCCATCTCCCATGATAATCTTGGATTCAAGGTCACTTGGTTTTCTCAGGCTTGTGAACCCCTATAAAGAATTCACAACATGAATAGTAGCACCCGAGTCAAACCACCAAGAATTGGGAGGAACATCAACAACATTGGATTCAAAACAAGCTAGAACATACATGTGCTTACCTTCCTTATCAGCATTCTTCTTCTTAAGAATATAACAATCAGTTAGCTTATGCCCAAATTTCTTACAATAGGCACAATTTCCCTTAAAGTACTTCTTCTTAAGCTCCAAACCTACTGATGTTTTCCCTGTGTTCCTCTTTTCATGGCGAGATTTGCCTTTGAAACCCTTTTTAACAGGTTTAGTACCTGAAGTAATAGCTGTGAATTGCACACTATGCGGCTTGGATTTTTTAATAGATTCTTCCTCTTGGGAAATAATAGCTATCATCTCATCAATTGTCCATTCCTCCTTCGAGCGTTGTAAGAAGTCTTTAACACATCAAGCTGAGAAGGAAGTGATTCCATAACACTGCCAAATCAAAAAGCTGTCACCAAGCTCCACCTTTAAAGATTTGAGTTTGTTATAATAGTGCACAAGCTTCATCATATGCTCACGAACACCACTGACACCATCATATTTGGTCTTCTCAAGAAGTGACAGATATTGACCCTTTTGAGCTTTGTCAAAAGTCTTAAACTTCTCACCCACTGATCTCAGAAAAACATTAGCATTATCATCATCCGGAATGCTTTGTCGAATAGACTTCTCCATAGTGTATTTCATCACCATCAAACATACCCTATTTGAGTGTTCCCATTTCTCATGATAAGCTCTTTGGACAGTAGTGGACTCAAGAGTAAGAGCTGGAGGCTCGTTCTCTCTCAAACAAAGGTCCATATTGGTAATTGTCAAATACAAATCCAAAGATTCTTTCCAATCCTCAAAATTTGTCCCATTTAAATTTTTGACCGAAGTCAATTGCATAGACAAAGAAGCTGGTATCAAAATAACAAAGAAACATTTAATACGCACAATTATTGTGCAAATAAACAAAATAAATGTCTCTAAATACACAACAAAACATGCCTATGATATCAAATTTCTCATTCACTATGACCCTGCCTAAGGGTCCTGAGTCATAATAAATAAGAAATATAATTAAAATAAAAAATTAAGAATACAATGCACATCTCAAGTCACAAGAAATCTAATACCGATAGGGTACAAGACAAATAATTGACATAATAAAATTCAAAATTACATTGTACCAAATAAAAAATACAATGCACATCTCATGTACTAGAAATCTAATATCGATAGGGTACAAGACAAATAATTGACATAATAAAATTAAATAAAATAAATAAATTATTTTATTTGTACAAAATAAATAAATTATTTTATTTTCACAAAATTTCATATAAGCTGTACCCATGATAGATGAGTTCACAATCATATAAAATTATATCATACTTATAATGAAGTTATATGATACATGAATTTATAATAATGATAAGATTTTATATATATAATTTATTATATATATATATATATATATATATTATATAATTAATCAACCATCTTTATAATATATATATTATATAATTAATCAATCATCTTTATACAATCAAGAAACCTAACATGACACATCCATAATGAAATATATCACCCAAGTCTAAATAAACTAAAAAAAATGATCATTTTATTATATTAAGGATCATAATCATAATAATTTTTTGTAAGGATATACTGATAGATATGAATATTTTCTCCATCACTAACAAACTTCATATCCATCCTATAATAATATTATAATATCTCACTTTTAATACTAATTTATTTCATTTTTCAGTATTCTAAGAACTTTTTGATTATATTAATTTATAAAAATTCTAAAAAACACATAAAATTAATTTTCATAAAAAATAACAAAAAAATCATAGAAAAAATATTAATTAAACTCGTATCATATAACACAATTTTTTTAAAAGGTAAAAGGAAACTGGTGTCACATGGCATGACTTTAATATTAAGTCTTATCATGTGTCGTGATTCCTTACCAAAAAAAAATTAAAATAAACAAATCATGCTATGAAACATGATTTTTTCTTTACAAACACGTCCCACATGACAAATTTACTTAATTTTGGTAATTTTTTTAAAATGTACATCAATTTTATAAAAACATTGACAAATTACTAGGGGTGTCAAAGTGAGTCAACTCAGCTCACACGGGTTGGCTCACCACGGGTTGAGCTGAAAATAGGTAAGCTGAACCCGACTCACTTTTTGGCGAGTCAGAAATTTTACAATCTGGCTCAACCCACCACGGATTAGTGGGTTAGGTGAGTTGACTCACTAACCCATATTTTTTTAATTTTTTAAATGATATAAAAACTTCGGATGTAGAAACTTTTGCTTTCTTCCTTTCTTTCTCAACATCAGTATCTTCTTTATTAACTGAAATTGACTCATTGGATTTTTCATTAATAATAAATTCATCACCAATACAATTTATATTGACCCACTTTGATGCATTGTTTCAGATTCCATACTGTAAATTAATTTGAAAGAAAGAAGTAAAAAATTCATATATAAAAAGATATACGTATGAATTAATAACAAACAACAAATAATGTATAAATGTTACAATTTTTAAATAAAGAATCATTTAGGTTATGATACAAATTCTTACATTTGAAAGCAATACAGTGGACACGGTGGTGTAGTGGTGCGATGGACAAATGATAATAAGTGACCCAAGTGCAACAGAGAACGTAGTGGTGCAACTAACAACTGATAACAAGTTTGAGTGAGAGTTTAACTTGTTGCGACAACCAACAATGTAGAGTAGATGTGAGGTAAGATTATCAATTAGGGTTAGTAAAGTATTATAATTATTTTTAAAATTTAAAATAAATGATTAATTAGGGTTAATATATTATTATAATTATTTTTAAAATTTAAAATTAATGGTGGATTGTGTGGGCCAATCCACCATAAACCGATTCGAACCCGTTTAATTCATGAGTTAAATGAACCAAGTTCATTTTTAATCCATAATCGGTAGAAAAAAAATTGAACTCAACCGGTTCGAACCCGTGGTGAGCCAAGTTGACTCACGAGTTAGAATCCATATTCATACCCCTACAAACTACACCCATTTTATAAAAACCTGAAAAAACCTTATGTATAGCTCATCTCCAGGTTTAGTCTAACTGAAAACCGAATTAAGTATCAATTTGTTTACTTTCAAATAACTAAATTTTAATTAAACTTTGACAAAATTGAAAAATTCAATTAAATTTTTAGATTAAACCGATTTTGATAAAAAAAACAAGATTTAGCATCAATTTTTTTAACATAAATTTTTTATAAAAGATATAATATATTTTATCATTTTTATTTCTTTTTATCTCATTAATTGTGTCAATTTTAAATAATAATTATATTATTTTTCTTATTTTAAAAACTATTTATTTTGCACTCTTTAATATATTTTATATTTATACTATTCATTATCACTTACCATAATTATGATAATAATCTTTATTATTATTTTTATTTTATAAAAATAATTATTACTAATAAATTTGTTATATATTTATTATATTATAAAAATATTATTTTATAAAATTTGATTAGACCCAAATAAATTTTGATTATACATTTAAATCTTGAACTCATGCCTTCCCTAAGTAACTGATCCGATTTTAAAAAAAGTGGTCAATCACACTCGAAAATAAAAGCAATTGAATATGACCAAAACTAGGTTAAAGAACTCAAAATAAAGGTGACTCAAAAAGAGGGACCAGCCTGTAGCATTTCTTACCTTCCAAAATTATTAAAGAATGTCTCTTTAGAAGCAAAGGAAAAAATAAATAAAAAATAAGAATAAAATATGTAACTTGCCTAATAACCTGAAATTCTTGAAGCTTATCTTAACCACTTGGTTCTTTCCTGCGCATCTAATATCTAGATATGTACATGGTGTTGGGTTGGCCTCGGTATAGGTATGTACAGAAACCTATCTCATCTCTCAGGGTAAGTATACCCCCAGTTTCTGTGGATCTTGCTTAAGTCAAAATTCTATCACATGGACAACTGTGCATTTCTTCTCACTGTCAAGCTTACCTTTCTAACATTGGGGTAAACATTCACTAGCGATTCCATGACCTTAGGTATGGCTTTCCCATTTGATCATGTAATGATGAATTCTGATGTGGCAAGCTCATCCATGTCATATCATCAGGCACCAGACCACTAGGTGCTTCACGTCCGGTGAAGTAATCTAATGAATGAGAAGCCGGAGGTGCAATTGTGTTCACCCTTGTTGTACCTGCATCTACTAATCCATAAGTTCTGTGTGCAAGAAACTGGTCAGTATTTCTAACTGAATCATAGGGGCTACCTGAACGTAATTGGTTACACTCTGACAGAATACTAAATAAACTCTGATCAGAGCTTGCTCCAGTGCCAAGACTTTGACTTGACAGACTACCACTGTCAGATCCATTCCAGCCACCACGAATTTGAGGATCGGCAGGAAACCAATGATGACCAATAAAATCTCCAGTATTTAAGTGAGACTGGGAAGGCCCTGCTATGCGACCATTACTAGTAGCCCAATCAGTCATATTTACTGCAGCCAATGGATCTTGCCTGGGGATTAGTTGTTCTTGCCTGGGGATTGAGTACCTTCCTCCATCAGAATAAATATTATCTGACATGTTTTCTGGCATGAAAACCTCTGTAGCTCTCCTTCGCCCCTGGTCCATTGTCAGTGACGTTTGCAAGGGCTCCTTGAAATGACTGGAAAATTGACCATCACCCATCATAACACTGTTAGAAGTCTGGAAATCTAAATCAGCTCCTTTCTGTTCATGATGATAAGGTAACAGCCCCTCTCCTTTGAAGAGAGATTGAAGTAAGACACTTCGATCCTGGATTTGGTAAGGACTGAAGGTCCCATCATCTAGTTGCCTGCCTAACAATTCTTTCCCTGTCTCTTGACTTAAATCAGCTTCAAGATCAATCATACGAGTTTGCTGCTCTTCACTGACTTGAGGATTAGCCAGTGATAACCCCCCATTGGCTGTGTACTCATGGGTCACTGCAGAATCATAGTATGGATGTGGCATTTCAACTCCTTGCCAGACATCATTGGAAGTGAAAGGTGCTCCTTCATCAATGGAAACATCCCTGGTGTTCATATTCCTTGAATACTCATCTTTATTCGGTGAAGTATCATTTGATTTTGATAAAAGAAGATTTTTTTCTGAATCCACGCTCATTGGGTTGAACTCATCACCACCAACATAAGAATTGTGCAGAGACTGGTTCTCGGGGGACCTAGAAATAGAATCCTCTTCATCTTTCAAGTCAGACTGATCATTTATACCTTCATCCTTGATCTGATCCTGAAGCTCATCACCTGAGTTTATATTATCCTCACCCTGATCTCGAAACTCAGTCCCTGAACTCACATTATCCTCATTCTGATCCTGAAGCTCACCGCCTGAACTAACATTATCCTCATTCTGATCCGTTAGCTTGCCTCCTGAACTAATGCTATCCTCATCCTGAATTTCACTCCCCGAGTTAATGTTGTCCTCGTCCTGATCCTGAAGTTCACTCCCTGAGTTAATGTTGTCCTCGTCCTGATCCTGAAGTTCACTCCCTGAGTTAATGTTGTTCTTAACCTGATCTTGAAGTTCACTCCCTGAATTCATATCGTCCTGATCCTTAAGTTCACTCCCTGAGTTGACATCATCATCCTCTTCCTGAGAGAAAAATTGGACATACTTTAAGTAACAGATGAAAAAATACCCGTGATATGGGACTAACCAATGATCTAGGATTTTGAGAAACTTGTACAACTCAATTTTAGCATATTATAGAAGACTTTAATATGGAAACACTACTACAAACCTACCTCTAAGAATGAATTTGATTTACCCTTCACCTCTGCCACCAAAGAATTTCTCACATCATGTCTCTGTATCTGTCTCTCTTTCCAATTTACATATGCTGCAGGGAGGTCTTTGTTTACCAATACCAACCTATGAAAATAACATATATTTTAGTGAGAAACAACGATGAAAAGTTTAAAATGTAATTTGTTCAATCACAACATATTTGCATAAATATGTATAGCCATGTGAACATCTCACTAACCAATGGTCCCGCAATTTCTTCTGTTCTTCTTTGACAAATATAGTGTATGGTTGTACATGAATTTTTTCAAGGTTACCCAACACACGATTAAGGGACCTAGATTGAATGCTTTTACCAGGCTGCTTCATATTCTTAACAAGTTCATGCTGCTGCCTACTAATCTGAAATGAATGCATAAGGCAAACAATCAGCAAACAAAATATTAACACGAGCATTGGTGAAGTTACACTAAAATATATCTAACACCAAAAGTAGAAGGAAACAAAGAAACAGCAGTTTGACTTCAACGGCAAAAACAAGTTAGCCATTCTCTAAATATTTAATAGTTTCAATGATAATTATCGGTTTCACATAATTGAGCAACTATTATTGTCCCTATAATAATTGACATTAAAGAGATAGCTGACCCAGCTACCATGCTGTTTCTCTGCCAATTCAGTATTGTTCGGAAAAAAAAAAAAAAAAAAAAAAAGAGAAAAAATCGGAGAGCCTAACCTTGATACATGACATGTATTTGTCTCCATCACTAGAATGACTGCTACGTTTGGGCTGTTTGTCTCCTGTCTTGGGCTTTTCTCCCACATTAGGCATAATGTCCAAAGAATCCATCAAATTTCTGGACTTACCTTTAACAATGCCTTTTTCAAGCACCCTGCAAAACATTATTTCATAAACATGTTTGCACATACAGCAGGACGTATATAAATCAAAATAAGGCCAAAAAAACCATTTGATTGAAATAAAAATAAATACAGAATCAGAGGAAGAATTTTTCCCCTAAATGACCATGCTCTATATTCCAGTTGCATTCATATACACTCAGTTTTATCATCACATAAAAAACAGGGACCAAAACATTAATACAAAAAGTAGCATGGATTATGGATTACATTGTAGATCATCGTACACTTACAATGTTTACTAATAATACCTTTTCGTAATATTATAAAAAAATATAGAGTGATTTAAAGTAGGTGAACTTTTCAGTACAGTGAGAGAGTCTTTATTCAATATTTTCATCTTATTCAAAATCCCAATTATGAAATCCTTATCTCCCACTCCACACCTCATAATACACCGTTCTTATAAGGCAAGAGACACTTTGACATCTTAGCATGGGGGAGAGGAAAGGTTATTCATTTATCAGACAATAGACATCACAAGTGAAGATGCAAAACTGGACTCGGAACTCTAGCATTTCTAGTCAATGTTTCAAAATAACGGCAGTCCCCCAAATTTCAGGACAAATATGCCAATGGATTTCAAGTCCAGAGTGTCCTTTCTGCATCAAATTTCCTAAAGGTATGAGTCCAGAAATGGAAGACTTGGGTATACACATTAAGATTGATTTCAGAATAAGATTACCAGGAATTGTTCGTGGTCATTTTGTTTAACCCCATTTTATGAGATAAGGCTTGGAAGTTGTTTTTGTTACAACTGCAGAGATGGTAAGAACCTACACATAACTAACAAAAAATGATGCGTAAAAGATTTGTCGTCTTCAGGTACAATATAATAAGTGATGATGATGATGATAGCAATGATGAAGGAGAACCAAAAGCAGCTCTAGAAAACTAGAATATGCCAACGACAAAAAATAGTAATAATACCCATGAGATGGCAAATGGAAATATTATTCATAAACCAAAATCATTATAATCATTAAGAATTAAAATTTGAGAGACATTGCTGAGTTACGAGACCCTGTTACAACTAAATATGTAGATTACAAATTAACTAGTTACCTTCTTTGAAGTTTGTCATCTTTTCTAAGTGAGGAAATTTGGTTGTCACTACTACATGCTTTATCCTCTGCGTCCCATGAACATGACTCCGATGTCCCTGTAACATTCCCATCATGATCATAAACTCTGGATTCAATCACTTTTGAGGGCATTCTTTTCTCCACATGCTTTGACCTGTGTAATTCAACAATTTTATGACATTAAGGATTAGCACTAAACATTTTAAGAGAGAAGGAGCAGAATAAAATCCAAATTCAGTAATCAATAATTTTGAGTACCCAACAAGAGATCATGTAGCATAATACAAGTACTTGTACATCAACAAAAATTACAATTATTTGATGAAAGTATCACTCATCATTACCACTATCTCTGCCATAAATTACTTGTTAATAAGGAAACTATCATCCATTAAGCATCCAAAAGTAAAATAAATCCAATTTGTTTCAGCAACAATTATCAACGGAATTCATTTTAGTATACCAAGTGCCAGTTTAACATCACAATTGAAACAGAATAAAATAACGATGCTTAAATAATTTTAAAACTTCGTATCAGTAGCCATATAAAACAGAAAATGCACATTGGCAGAAGACATTGTGTACTGAAGACAGTAGTCAAGTACAAAATAAGGAAAAGTTCCAATTTATCATATACACATCAGATAAAAGATTTTCAGGATTTTACCATCTTAGGTTTGAAGTAACATGATATCTCAAACTATTCAACAATCAAAATTAATCATATAAAGAGGGATATGAATTGAGCCAACTAGTGCAACAATGAGCTATCGTGCTACATTCAGGGAATTACCAATGCAAGTATTGAAAGCAGAGGAAAGAAGGTATCCTTCTAATAAAAGGAATTACAGAATATGGGTCCTGTCCTAATTTTGAATGTGGTCAGGTGAGTTGTGTATTGCAATACATTGAAAGTAAGTGACAACCTCCATATCTTTTGCACAATCTCCTTTTCTGGATCTTTACAGCTTTGCCAGCTCTTCTTTAACTTAGACAGAAATCCTATCATACTGCAAAATATAAGAATTACACTACTGATTAAACAGCATGCCAAAAAGATACATGTTGAGAATCTACAATGCTTACTCATTGTGATAATTATGTATGTGCGAGTAATATTCTCTCTTCTCAGATTTAAGATGTTGTTCCCGGTAAACAATCATATCTGGATGAAGATCACCTAAACAAAGCGAAGCACCCCTGCAAATATATATTTAGACATTTGTGACTATGAAATGGAGAAGATTTTCATGAATGGTTAGCAGACTAGATAAATATCTTTCCATGTCTTAATGATATTTTTCTCGCAAAAAAGGGGGAAAAAAGGATCTTGATGAGATTGCAACATGATTTTGACATAAAGAACAGGATTGATACATCTCACAACCCAGACAAGTGTAGATGGTTGCCTAATAAATATGGAAAAAAAATTGGCGCTATGAAGAGCAAAACAGAATTTCAACCAAATAAAATCCTTTACAAAATTGAGAAATTTGTGTGCAGCACAAGGAAGACCCAAGACAACTGGTCAATGTGCTCTAAGATATAATAAAACCTAGATTGAACATAAAAATAGGCACTAAAAGGAATTTATAGCTGAAATATGCAATTGGTAATGCAGGCAAACCCAACCCAAAACCAATTATCTCAATAACTAATCCACTCATTCATTGATATTTAAAAGGAAGAAAGTGTCACATGTAGAATGGTCTTATGAGATAAACTGGTAATTATAGCAAAGTATGAAGATAATGTTTCTACAGAAAATACAAAGAAAGAGATCTTGCCATTTCGAGAAGGGGTTTCCAAAGTTAAAGTTAATCCCAGCAAGTAAATCTTCCACAACTTGATGCGGCTCAAAGCCACTAGGAAGAAAATTCATTAGAAGGTTTCTCTCATTTTCTGATAGATGGGTCTTCCAAACCTGCCAATTGCCAAAAGTTTTGCATAGAATGATTTAGACATAATTCCTAGACAAAATAAAACCTATTTTCAAATGCAAACAATATAAACATACCACAACATGGTACTTACATCATATGAAAGCACATCACTCAAATTATCCAAGTCAAAAATTTCTTGAGGCACTATAAACACATCTGCCAAGAGTTTGTGACCATTAGCAACAGCATTGATAAATGGTTTTGCTTGTCTCCAACTGATGCCAACCTGTTCCCTCTTAGCAACAACTTTATTCTGATTATCATCCCACTCAACAGATATGTGAGATCTCATGTTTAAATCATTTTGAACTAATCCCAAATTCTTCCTTTTGATCCTTTGTTGATCTCTAGAACCATAACCAGAGATGTTTACACCATTCACTCGCTTTCTCCTCTGATCAGCAGCCATGGAAACAACAATAATTCTTCAAAAAAACACTATACCAAAATGTAGCAAAACACCACCTTCCTGACTTTTAATGAACATCTTGCATCCATTAGTGACCTAACAACCACTGGAAAAAAATGTCAATTATTATCATCTTTCCATTTCAAAGTTTAATATTCAGAAAAGTTAAACACAACATCCTGTTCTTACCGTTATTTTATAAGAACAAGTATTGCTAAGTTTAGAACGAAAGATATATTTGATTCCTTCCTTATAATTACAGAGGCAGAAATTTCCATTCCAATCAAGAGAGGTAAATGACCATGTTTTTTTTTGCTAGAACAAATTGATGTTTACTTTTGTGCCATCTTAGTTGAAAGTTTGGTTAAAATTTATTTTGAATCATTGTGTGATTGAAAGGTCTATAAAAAAAAAATCAATTGTATCACATAATGACTGGAATTTATTTCAACATCCCTTATTAAAGATGATTCAATTTTATATTGACTTTCCTTCACAAACATTAAAGCAGAATGAAAATAAAAATATTATTCCATTCCTGAGCAAACCCCTCAAAACTGGAATGGTCATTCTAATAATGAAAACATCAAATCCACGCATGAAGCATGACCTTAGTAGTATTACATCAGCAAAAGACCCAAGAAACTTAAAAATTCAAATAACATAAAGAAGGGGATGTTATTCATAATGAATGTCTACGAGAAGCATACCAATCCAATCTACTATTACACAAGTTTATATACACTTGTTTCATAGTTGCAGAATGAAACAAATGGATAATAATTCATGCACCTTAGTTTAGAAAATTAATTGCCTTTTCACAGGCTTACTGAAAGAGATTTTGAAGAAAATTGATTGTTTAAATTAAAATAATGTTTCCAAACACCCTCTCTTCATGGGATGAATTTCCCATGGATAAAAATTTATAATGCCTTTTCATAGGATTTCTAGTCTCCACAAAGTAATAAATGCACATTGCCGCCAGTTAGAATATGGAATTTGGATAACGCCACTATTATGCATATTTCATAATAATTCTAATATATAAAGTATAGTCTTCTTCAAATCAAGAAAGAACAGTGATAACAAATTGCGTTAAACCACAACAGATCAACAAATCTTGTAGCACATCTTTGAATAGTTAAATCAAAGTGGGTGGGGACAAATGTGAAGTTTTCAAAGTTTAACCCATATATAACACATGCAAGTACAACGAATCATGAGTTCAACAAGTCACGAGGATAAATGATAGATATTCAAAACCACCAATACAAATAAATAAATAAATAAATCATGCATGCTCAATAAAAAAATGAGGAAAAAAAAACCCAGAAAATACTGTTCAATGAGAATCAATAAAAAAATTAAATGAATATTCCTTAGACAAAAGATTTTAGTTTTTGACTTGTTTTAACAAGACTAACTTAATGTTTTTCAATTATTTCAACAACCCACAAGTCTATATATATGATAAAATCCAACTACCATAAGAATAAAAGAAAAAAAAATCACGCACACTCATTAAAATAAATTGCCTATCTATTTCTCATTGAGAATGAAGCAAAAATTTAACAAACATTCCTTTTACAAAATATTTTAGTTATCACAGGTTTCCACAACACCCACACTCGTAGAGCACAAGTACAAGTATCTAAACAAAAATCAACCGAGTAATTTCAACACAATTACAATCCACAATGCAACTCAAAACTCAAACCAGTGCTATTCAACCATTCAAATCACCGAACATAGTGAACCCCAGTGTCCACACTCACAACACCAAAAAAACAACACCACCAAAACACGAAAAAACCACACTGAAAATTTTTCAATCAAAGAAACAAGCAATCCACCGAATTCCGCATCGAATTTCGAAAATCACATGGGAATCACATTCGAGTTACCTCCTTTCCCATCCGAAACAGCGAAACCCTAAAATCCAAAAAAAAAAAAAAGAAAAAAACTGGCAAGACAAATTACCAGTGAATAAATTCGCCGTCCCTGTTCCAACGACACACGAAGCAGAATTTGAAAGCTGCGCAATTAATTAAAGTCAATCGGAAAAAAATGTTTAATAGAAATCGAGAGAGAGGGATAGAATAGGCGATAACCTAAGAGCGAGGGCAGGGAGAAAGAGAGAGAAAAATCGAAGAGGTAGAGAGAGGATTATAGAGAGAGAAAGAGAGTGATAGAAGGTTTGGTATTATTAAGAGAGAGCATTGAGGAAAAGAGACACACACCACAATTGGCAGAGAGAGAAAGAGGATCAGACGACTGTGGTTTGGTTTCCCTCGAAACCGTTATTTTCCGCATCGAATCTTGATGCAGCTTCGCGCGCGTGTCGGCTCGGCTCGGTTCACTGGCTCCAGCACGTGCCAGCATGGTTAGGGTATGTTGTGGATGCAGTTTGTGTTGGGTTAGGATATGTCAACGACAGGAGGTGTGTGTTTTCTTTCTATATTTTTTTTTGTTTATTTATTTATTATTTATTGATTACTTAAATGTGAGTTAAATACGAGAATTCCATTGGAAGTTGGCAACAATCATTAACATCAAAATTTATGGGACGTTGACTTTGATGTCAACGGAACAGAATCTAGGATGGTAGGTGAAGATATATATTGAAATAAATAAACTTATACATTTTTATATTGATATTGGGATGCGCATCCATATGGAATTCTTTTAAGATAAAGTGGGTGGCAATGGAAAAATGTATGTTAATTATAAATATTCGTTGATATATTTTCGAAATTTATTACATTAAATGATAGTGAAAACTTATTTTATATTATTTGTAGATTTTGTTTTTTATAAAGTGTGTCTGATTTTAATAGAGATAATTAATTATTCAAATAAATACTCTTTCAATATTTTTATCTAAATAAACTTATTTATTATGTAAGATCAATATTCTTTTTTTTTTTAAATGCCATCAAAATTCAATTTTCGAGGAATTAAATTCTGAATTACGATTTTTTTTCTACAATTGCTTATATATATATATATATATATATATATATATATATATATATATATTAATTTATATTTATATGTATAATTATATATTTATATAAATCTTTTTATATTTATATATAATTATATATATATGTATATTTTTATATTATATATATACTTAATTAAAATACATATTTATATATTTTTATATATTTTATAAATATGTAGTCATATATTTTTATATTTAATTTATATATATTTATATTTTTGTATTTTTTAGATATTTATATTCATGATATAAAATATTAAAAGATAATAGATTAATGGTGCATAATTGAAACAATACATGTTAATATAAAATTCAACTAAATTAGAAATAATATAAGATAAATGGTAATTGAAGAATCATCTTGTAAATAATAAGAAAAATGTGAATTTTGTTATCCCATATTTGTTAATGTATGTACTATCTTCTAAATTACGAATCATTTCCTTAGGTGTTGTTCTTCGTATGGTCTTAACTTGAACAAACAATTCATATTTTCCCATGTTTGTTCACCTTGCACGGTTGGGTGTAAAGATTGCGTTTTTTTCTAGTCGTTGATCATTTGGGTCATATCAACATCAATTTTAATCTTTATGGAATGGTGAATGATTTTTTGGTTTCACACTCGAACTAGACGACGATAGTTGATTTCAGTAATCTTTTCGCGATCTCCATAGTCAAGTACTTGAGTAATGTTTTCATATAGTTCAACAAAAGACCATGTATATTAGATTATCATTATTCTAGGGTTTAAACATGTATAAATAAGACCAAAATCATTTGGACTTTCCATGATGGTTGCACGTTGGACAAGACCACCAAAGAAAATTATAGCTTTAGAGGAAGGAAGGTTATTTGGTTTTGCAGAAGAGGTAGAAACAAAAGAGGTTTAAAAGCATCAGTATTTCATTAATGAATTTTGTATATTGAACATATAATTAGGGATGACAAAACGAGTCAGTCCGCCCCGTTTTGGCCCGCCAAAAGGGGGTAGGCGAGGTGGGCTACATGTCTTGGGTTGGTCAGTCATATTTCTTATTTTATTTTATTTTATTATTTTTAAATCAAATCTTTCAATAAATTTAATAGTAAAATTATCATTGTCAATAATTCAATATATATATATATATATATATATATTTCAAGTTAATAAATAAATTAAAATATTATTTTAATAAATTATATTTTAGAACAATTAAATTAAGATAGAATTTATATAATAATAAATACATGTATGTAACATAAAAAATTATTAAATCTTTATTTTTTATATTAAAAAGTTTAAACATTTAAATAAAAATTACATTATATTTATTTATTTGATAAAACTTCACATTGTTTTCCTATTGAGTAATTCTCATATCTTCAATTCAAAACAATCAATGTCCAGGATCATTAGATGCAGTATTTGAAGATATCTCCAGTTTTCCATCTTTGTCATTTTCTTCCTCATCTTCAACAACACACAAAATTGAAGAAAGAAAAAATTAGTGAAAAAAAGGATTATCAAAAATAAAAATAAATAATATTTGAATTAAATGAATTACCTTCATAAAAGTCATGTTTCCAATTTGAAGTACAAATTATTGTTTCTACATTCTCGGACAAAAGACGATTTACGTACTTATTAAGAATCATATAACCAATACTGAATACAAATTCGAAGCAACTCGTAGTAATAGGTATACTTAACAAATCTCTAGCAATAATGAAAGATCAGAAAAATGTTAGTTATTATTCTTCCACCATTGTAGAACATCCATATGTTCCGTAATATCAAAATCCAATGTTGGCTCATCCAAATATATATCAAGTTGGTTTCTTCCAATTCTAGATGTAGCTTGAAGCTTGTGCTTTTTTAGTTCCTAATAATATGATAAATAAATAAAGAAGTTAAAAATATTAATTGAAAATTCATAAAAATAATTGATTTAAAGTAATTAACTTACATCAAAGAGACTTGGTTTTGAGAATGAAATATCAACATGTTTGCGCTTCGAACATTTGAAGTTGTACTTTTGCTACAATATTGAGAGAAAAGTATGTACAATTTTTTCTTTATTTTCTCCAACTTTACTTCACAAGTAAGTGGATCAATTCTTTCATAACACAATCTTAATGTTTCCAACTTCATCCTTGGGTCTAAAATTGCACCAAATGTAAGTACAACACTATATTCATCCTAATATTTATCAAATTTCATCCTCATTTTTTCAACCATGTCCCTTACAATTTCATCTTCATCTTTTTCACTTTCCATTAGAAGGCACTAAATTTCCCAAACTTGTAAAAAATACACATTGGAAGTAGGATAACTTGTAGCTGAAATTAAAGTAGTTGTATCATAAAATGGCAACAAGAAAACACTAATCTTTTTTGCTCTTTTCCATTCTTCTTCAGAAGGACAATAATTATTGTTAGATATTGTTTAGATATTATTTAATATTGTTAAGATATTGTTAGATATTAACCATAATATCAAACAATATCTTCTGTTTATTCTGTTACTTTCAGTTACTCTTTTAGTTGTATCTCTATACTATAAATAGATTACCCTATGTGTGATTTATACACAAGGGAGATTAATCTCAAACTCTATTTCTTCTATATTCAACATGGTATCTAGAGCTTAAGGTTATTTTGATTTTTTTTCGCTTTTGACCACTATTGAAGCCGCCACCACCGCCGTTATCGCTGTCGGTTATTTGGTAGTGTGAAAGTGCATGTCTAGGAAAGTTCTGACAAGGAAAGACTTGGTATTTAAGCGTGTCCATTAGTGACCCACCTCTCTTTCCTGGGAACTTACCTGGTGTACTGGTTCACGCCGCTGTCACTATCGCCTCCGCCCTTTATGAGTTCTTCCACTCCTTTTAGTACTTCCAATTCTGTCAGTACTGCGTCTGATCCTTCCATCTACACTAACTATGTTAATGTGCACTTATCCATTGACAAGTTAACTGACCTTGATTATGCCACATGGTCATCAGACGTCAGATTATGGCTTAAGAATCAGAAGTATCTTGATCATCTTGCCCCGAAAGCACCTACTCTCACTCCCGGTGAGGAAGACCGTTGGGACACCATTGATGCTCAATTATGCGTGGTTCTCAAGGGTACTCTTGATCCTTCGTTAAAACAAATTTTTTGTTCCTACGAAACATGTGCCAAAATCTGGGAACATACCAAGTTATTATACACCAATGATACTCAACGTCTCTATGATGTCTGTTCTAAATTTGTAGATGTTATTGCCTCTAAACATCAAGATTCTATGACTGATTATATGGGCAAAATTCATGCTCTTTTTCATGAGTTCAATGAGTTATTGTCTCCTTCCCCCGACCCTGCCACCGAGATAGGACAACGATCAAAGTTCTTTATGCTAGGGGCATTACACGGACTTGCTGATCAATATTCACATATTCGTGATCAGATTTTGGGTTCTCCGGTTGTCTCCACCTTGACATCGACCTGCTCCACTCTTTTACGTATACCAACAAAACTCAACCCTGACACACCTACTTTTGTTAATAATTCTTCTGCATTGGTATCTCACCGTGATGATCGAACTCGCCCTCGCAAACAGGAAAAAGGGCGTCCAAAGTGTGAACATTGTGGCAAACTAGGTCACAAGATTGACCAGTATTATGCATTACATGAGTGTGGACATTGTGGCAAACTAGGTCACAAGATTGACAAGTGTTATGCATTACATGGTCGTCCTACTCGATCTACTGCAGTTGCTCAGACTGATTTTTCCCCACCTTTATCTGCTAAGGATCCTCCTTCTTCTATTTCATCAGACACACCTGCTATGTTCAACAAATTTCTCAAATGGTATAAGGATCAACAGTCTTCTAGTTCCACTGTGTCTGTCGCACACACAGGTACATCTTTTGTTGGTCTGACCCAATCTTCTTCTGGTCCTTGGGTTTTTGATTCAGGAGCCACTGATCATATTACTGGTAACAAATCTTTGTTCTCCTCTTTATCCTCTCCTGATCCTTTACCTTTTGTTACACTAGCTGATGGCTCTAGAGTATCATCTCATGGTGTTGGAACTGTTAAAATTTTTCCTTCTTTAACCATTGATAATGTTCTTTATGTCCTTGGGTCTCCTTTTAACCTGTTATCCATCAGTCATCTAACTCGTTCTCTTGATTGTGTTGTTTCTTTTACCAACAATTCTGTGTGTTTACAGGACCGGAGTTCGAAATAGGTGATTGGCACAGGATGTGAGTCTCATGGTCTTTATCATCTTCGTCCCTTTACACATGTTGGTGCAGTTATAGAGTCTCCCTCTCTTCTCCATGCTCAGTTAGGTCATCCAAGTCTTGCCAAGTTACAGCAACTTGTCCCTGCCTTATCTAAATTGTCT